CAACAACCAACAATGAAAAATCGGCGTAGTTTCCAGCTCTGCCATAAATCTAGGTGTCCTGAAATCCAGAGACGAAAGCCAACATTGCCATTCAGCGCCGTAATGTGCCACGCCCACGGTCTACTAGTGAGCCACGCCCCCGGATGGCTGTGGCCTTGAGCGTCACCGCAGCATCAAGGTACCGGCGTGCTTAGTCCGGACCCAGCACGGCACCGACATACAACCGGACTCAAAGTACACTGCGCGCTGCTCAGCAATCGGTGCTATCCATCGAGCCTGCATTCTCAAAACACGCAGCTCATATAGCTGATAAGTAAACCTTCATTAGCGTGCGCAACTAATATTGCCAACAAATAGTTCGTTTTTGCTATTGCCCGTTTCGACCTTCACTCTCGTGGTTGCAACACTGATTCAATATGTAATATGTATGTATATATATGTGCGTACGACACAGGGATGGCATAACAACTCTTGGCATTCGGTTGACCCTTGGTATATCATCCTTTATTTTGACACATGGATCTCTAAAAACTGATGCTCGGAGACTATAGATTTGACTGTCGTCAAATGTTGATGTTTAGGTACGAAATCATACTTTACCTTTAGACTGACAAGTGCTGGGACACTCAGGCTCCCCAAAGCCACTCTTTTATTCAGACAATTGTCATATAGGTGCTCTGGCTCTGGTAGCTACAAACTCGACCGACGCGAAACGTGGAATGTCTCATATTCGTGTATCCCGTGTACCGGGAGCGGGACGCACTGAATTCAATCGGCAGGAACCGGCCAGCTAATGTAACAAGCGTGCCGCGCAAGGCCTTAGCCATGGCCGTGTATCTGAAATACATTGTCATCACAGCAGAGTGTGGGTGGGCAGGGCGTCTCAGAAAACACAGATGTTACGTGGGCTGAACAACACACGGACACAGGGAAGAGCTGCAAACTACCGCGGCCTTGGCTGTCACAGCTGGACTGAGCAGCTGCACAGGAGATAGGCATCGCGCAGAAGATAAAAGTCACGCCAGAGTCCCATCAGAGTCACCGTGTCTGGCAGCGGGTGAATTCAAAACAAACCCAGTGGGCGTGTGCCTTTAGATTCGACCACCGGAAAAACACAGCCTATAAAGCGCCCGTAAGTGGCCCTCGGTATGCATGTAAGAATGTGGCCATGAGGAAAATCACTCCGTCACGCATACCCCAGAGACAAATGGAGATGCTAATTAATATTACGTGAGCCTTAACCCGCGCACCGACGGGGGTCTGCGCCAACTTCGTACCGACGGGGGGGGGGGCGGATGACCGCCCCCCCCCCCTGAGATCTCGAGAACGAAGCAAGATAGCGGCAAGCGGTAAACGGCATCGGATACGCACGGACAAGATCTACATTTTTTACAAAGGTCATTTTCAGGTCAGGTCAAAGATGACGTCACAGGGGTCAAAAAAGTCAAAATGGCGGCGCTAGATATGGGGAGAGTTGTTCTCGAATAACTTTCGAACTAGTCAAGATAGGAACAAACTAAGGGCACCATCGTGATCCTCTCGTCAATCCGCATCGAATGATATATATGTTGACCTCGAAAGGTCAAGGTCAAAGGTGACCTCAGGTCACGTGACCTCGAGGTCATCATGTATATCATTCGATGCGGCTTGACGAGCTGAACACAATGAGACCATCCGCGCGGCTGTATCTTGTTCCTGTACGGAGTTATTGTCAAAAACCGCTGGTGACCTTTGATGACGTCACATGACCTTACAGCTGCCCAACAGCAAAACAGACCTCAAAGTAGTGAAGGCTGATCGTATATGAAGTCATGTATGTTATATGGTGCCATTCCGACCCGTTTTAGTGGTAAAAACAGGGAGTTGATTTTTCCCCCATTGACTTATAATGGGGAGGTCGAGAAATTGACCTGACCTTAGGTCACCGATATCAAAATTCCGAGATATACAAATTGTAGCTACTAATGACCTAATAACATCCTGCGACTTTCAAAGGCCTCCGACATCTACTGTAGCTCTGGCACGGTGACAAAGTTGCAAAAAAGTGACTTGAGGTTGGGTCATTCAAAGTGACCTGGTGACCTGACCTTAAAAGTTAGGAGGTTCAAACTTGCACACCATGTGTAAAATTGATGAGAGAATAGTCGTATCAAATTTCGCGGCGGCGCCGCGGTTTTCCCGCTATTCGCGAAAAACCTCAGGGGGGGGGGGGACGGATATCCGCCCCCCCGTCGGTGCGCGTGTCAAGCACTCAGAACATAATAAGCTTCGAGTACAGCATGGTCGCATTCCAATGGGGACCACGAAACACCGATATCACAATCCTATACGATTCTTACGTCTTACAACTCTCTTTCACATTCCAACGCTCTTTCCCTACATGTCACCAAGCTTTACACGTTACATCACGGCTAATCCGCCACATCCACTGAACAAGTCGGTCGCCCCGCTACCTCAAATCCCGCCTCCTCACACCAGCACCCTTCCATTAACACTTCACTGGTCGGAGCGGTCCGTGCTGCTCCCCACGATCCATCATCGACGGCGTCGCGGCGGCTGCGGCTACGACCGACAGGCCTGCTCGGCTCCGTACAGCTCGGTTCGACTGAACTCCGTTCGACTGCGTTCCGGTGACCGAGCAGAGGACGCGACCGATGCGCGCCATCGGTCATCTCACACGAAGACAGCGTGGGAGGAGTTCAGAGAGGGCTGTGAAGCTCCACAGGAGCCCAACCCAAGATGGAACCGATATCCAGCAGGTAGGATAGAAAACCCGTTATATCAAGGCGCATATAACTAAACTAAAATGGAATTGTGTAGGCAGAGAAGAATATAATTATTTGTTCCAGACATAGAAATGTGAACGATTTCATTCCATCTGTGAAGATCTTAAGTATTTAAAGAAATAAATCGCATCTCACCAAGTGATCAGCCTTATAAGCGTTCTCGAGTGGCACCCTATACAAACGTACTATACTAGCGAGTAACGATGGCTCAAACAAAGCGGGCGATTTGCGTAACCAACTGGATTGACTTTCTAATAACACCAAATACATGCCACACCATCGCTTTAGTTTGAACTGTGCAGCCTCGTGGGCTAAGGGAAGGTTGGGAGGGAAAGGTTCGCACCGTTTCTGAAGGGGCGAGACTACAATTTTTCACTTCCCGGCCCGTCCGCGTGGGGCACAAAGTGTTCCATATTTTGGGACAGGGAATTTCCGTTCGTCTGCTTCTCTCCGCTGTATGATACATCACCACCATCCTGGCCCGGCGAGGCGTGGGTCGGTATACTGTCAATCCGTGACAGGGCCCTCCGAGGCCGCCACCGGACCCGCGATGAACCGTGACACCCGCCCCACCCCTCCCCGTGTGGAGGCCCCGCCCCGTATGACACGAAATGGCCCTGACATGGAACATCAGCTGCGGCAGCAGGCACATGCACCAACGGTGCTTCCTGCAGTGTACCGTGGAGTGGGAAGCGTCAGGACTGATTTTCTGTTCGTGGCCAGTCGTATGTCGACCTTTACGATGATTTATTCTCACTTTGACATCAATTTGATGTGGTTAATCCTAGTTATTTACCCAAATATATGGCATTGCCATAAAACGGTTTTTAAAAAAATGCAGGACACTGTCCTGTATTTATTGCTCGCCGGGCGTTAGTACGTCCCTACACCCCGTTCGTGGGACGGCCTCAGCGGACAGGTGCCGGGGTGGGATGACGTCACTGGCTCGGGGCGTGGTCGGTCGGCTCTCCTCTGATACCATCAGTGGCCGTGGGAGGGAGGCTCGCGCTCCCGGACGCGGGGGCCACGGGCAGACGGTACCTCCAGCGTGCACTCACCGCAGACTGGTCCCCCGGGGCAGCCCCGACTGCCCACTGCGCTACAAGGCTGCCGCCTCAGACTGCACGACTTCGAGCCACGGACCGTGACCTCATCACCCCTGTTGTCTACATAAGACTCGATCGGAACCGCTACAATAAGTAATTTCTATAGAAGCTTAGACTGAAGATGAGTCGAGCGGTCGGTATAGGTATTTCATTCTATCTTATCGTATTTTGTTTTGTTTTGGTTTGTTTCAAGGGTTGGACCGTTTCCGTCTAATGAGACATTTTCAGAGCTGGAAAGCTAATAGGAATTAGGGAGTGACATTGGTCTGGGCGTCCACCCTGGTGATCCGCCGGGGCCGGGGCGGAGCCCATCACGTGGACGGGCCACCCAGCGCCGCTAACGGTCACCCCACTGCACGTGAGCCTGCTGCCTGCTCCCGAGGAGCTGCTCACGTCGGATGAAGGTGGTCGTCCAGCTCAGAGCAGGGGGAAAGGCATGGAGAAGGCTTTGGCTGTTCTGAGGATGAAAAAGAGGGAACGGTGCTTTGTAGGTACCTATATAATATATATTTATGCATTCCCAGGCCAAATCGGTGGGCAATGACCATGCCCACTGCCCAGCCCGGCTCGGCTCAACTTAGTAGGTAAGGGTCACTTTGAGCTGACTTGGATAATTAATCAAGGAAGTTTGTGAAGTTAATAGATGGGTCAGCTCCCGACCGCAGATTATTTTTAAAAATTAGCATGCAAGATGTGCGCGCAAAATGTTGGGCCGCTATGTCCCAACATTTTGCACGTACCGTACCGTACACACAAGACAATTATTAGGTATGTACAAGCCTCGCACGCGAGCTCAGCTTTTTGTGGGTGGTTGTGTCCAGCTTGGTGCAGCTCCACGCCACCTGGTGCTACTGATCACACCTGTAGTTCCTCCAGCACCCACCAGGGTAACCATAGTTCCAGCGCCGACCGCCAGGACTGCCGGGGGCGAGCATCTCATCAATTTTGCACGAGCCGACAACTGACCTGCATACTGCATAGAGAGGTCATCGTTCCGCAGCTCCGCGGCAGCGCGGGGAGTTGTCGCAGAGGGCGAACGGGTCACAGATCGGGCCGCGGAGGGCCGCTCCCCTCTCCCAGTCGGCCGCTCCCCTCTCCCAGTCGGCGCCGGGAGTCCGCGGGGACCGGCGCGCCACGCCGTGACGGGGTACCGTTACGTCTCCGGTCACACACATCTCGAAGTCGGGCACCGGAGCCGAGCAGTAACGCTACACCGGTGAAGAAGGACAGACTGGACGGTGGTGATACGGCTCCACGGTGGCGCCTGTCAGGTGAGCTTTGGGAGGTAGTGGCTTGAAATAACCTTGCATTACCATCGCCAGTGGCTGCGTTAGGTATCTTTACTCTAAATTACTGAACGTTATTCTTGGATCGTTGTTTTTAACGACCAATTACCAGCTTACACCTACTATGAGATTCGTGGAAACTGCCATCAGGGATTTATTGCTGAGGAAAATGGAAATATTTAAAGCATTCTCGTGTTTAACCAATCCATTTTGGAAGTGATTTTGACGATAAATGTACACAAAAATTGAAAAAATACACACTCACCTGCTATTCAATTCTTCCGAGTGAGCGCAAAGCGTGTCGCGGCCATTTCAACATAACGGAAGAATATTCGCATGAACCTGTAACGGCCCGGCCTGTAATGGTTTTGAGAGACTTCTCTTCGCAACCGGATATCCGTTTTTAAAAACTGTTCTTCCCTGCTGGGTAGCCCCACATGCTTTCTACTCTGATATTGCCTTTTATTGATACCCATTACGTACATCTGACGAGGCTGTAGTTAGCCCATGGTTATGTCAAAATTGTTTCGCTTATCTTAAACTCACTAATAGCTGGACCGTTTGCGATGAAACTTGGAATATCGGTGAGCCTTATTAGGTGATGCATTTTTGTGCGATACGGCTACGGTGTTCCAGCACGTGCACACGTGTGAGAACGCTTAACGCCGCTAAGGACTGACTGGATGATTGATTGCACAAATCAGTTGGAAGTCTCACTGCACTTAAAAAAGAAGTCCTAATGATAGTAGGACATAGGAAACACAAAATGATAGTATTACATAACTCTGTCTTATTTGAATAGGCGCTTGTCACATGTCAAGAGAGTAAACCCGTGTTTGTCTAAATCACGACAAACACTTCAGAAAATTAAGAGTCAAGCTTTGAAACTCGATTACTTGTCCTGTGATGCTTTGAAAAACTCCGCCATCATTAGCAATGTAGGATATGATAGCTAGTTTGAATTAAATGAAACATGATTCATGCATAAATAATTTAAAATACAAATTTTCAACAATCCCTGTTCGTGAGAATCGTACAGTTCACCCGTTCAATACGGAAATGTTCGTGCGTGCTCGTGATCGTTCACTCGTTCTCTTTCGTCACCCGGAGGACCATAAAGTTATTGTTCATATAAGTAAAAGTCTATTCTTGAATGAAACGGAAATGATTAAAATGCACAAAATACGGCGGTCACAAATGCGGTTCACTGAATCGTTCTCGTAGGGCCACGTCGGCCGCGTCGTACGTAAGGCCACGTCGGCCACGTCGTGCACCGGGCCGTCGCGCACCGGTGGAGTCCCGTCGAAGACTGTCAGGCCCCCGTCCCGTCTCAGCCCTCGTGGTACGTACAACACGTGGGCATGAGAACCAGGACAGGGGCCAGATGACACATATGTGAGCGGCGTGGCGCGGCGGACCGACCGCCGCGCTCCGAGCGCCGGCCGTCTTTGCGAAGATATCAAAAATGCCTGTTTGCTCGCTAACATAGCCGGCCCGGTTTTTCGCGATACTCCGCGGAAAATCCAACAACTAGCGAGCAATCGTTCAAGCGTCCCGTACGCACGCACACACTCGTAACGATCCGTTCAACATGCGCGATATACATACACTCACATACAATGCACATTACGCACTACACAATGTCTGACTGAGGCAGGCATTATCCCCGCCAACAATCACCCAGTCATAAAACTGGTGACGGCGCGGTCTCGGCAGCCGGGTGCCGTCACACACTGACGCATGTCGTAAACTACACACGCTGGGCCGAGAGGCATTGGCGGCAGTGACATTGCCGTCACATGGCCGACACACAACAAACACCCATCACACAATGTACAACATGACACACATTACGTTACCGAAGCGGCGAAGCGAACAAACGCGGACGTACAATAGCGCTAACACGGTGCGTATCATAAACTAATCTAACACTGCTATGTTACACTCTAAGGTCGTAAACTACTAGCGCGTCCAAGAACTGTCACACGGCTCACAGCTGATAGCTAATGGCTGAACACTCAACACAAATGACCATTCGCAGCGGACAGAATGAGCGGCTCACTCTCTCACGCACACACACACGTTAACACCGCGAATGGCGGGCGCAGGAAGCATTAATAAACGCTCCGATCTCCACACTGCTCGCCGGCGGCACAGTGCGGTCGTGGACGACTCACTTTAGCCGTCCCCCGTGCCGCACATTATCTCTCCGAGTCCGTTTACTGTTCGTCGCCGTCGCACTCGAGACGGCAGAGACGAGAGACTGGCCGCCTGTAACGACCAGTGGCAGTCGTCGCATCCACGGCGCGGATACGACCGCCTACACCGGGGTCATACACTTCGCTCGTCCCATCGGCCGGTGTCCACGCGGTACGTCTCCGTCGGTCAGTCGCACTAGTTCGCCAACCTTGACCTCGGTCGTGTCCATGATCGACATGCAGTGTGCGGTCGGCGTGCGCGGGGAGACACTCTCGCCGCCGGCGTCGCCAGGAGCGATCCTGCGGCTGCGTGTTCTTCCGCTTCCAGCGACGGCCACCGACTCTGAGCAGGCCGCCGGAGTCCATGAGGCAGGACGAGAAGTCACTGCCGTTTACGACCGGCTCCGCTCGCTCGGTGACGCACGCTGTCACCCTCGTCTCGTCGTCGGAGAGGGCGGCCGGGCCGGACCGCGCAGCTGGACCTCGTATCCACGGTCCGCCGGGGGCGAGGTCCGTCCCCGGGCCGCCTCTGCTGAAGATGTCGGCCGGGCCCGGCGGCTCGGCTGCGTTACACCACTGGGTCGTCTCTGATGATTCCTGGGTGTGAAGGTCAGCGACTGCACTCGTTTCATCACTGACACGAACGTGATTGACAACGTGTTCACCATCGAGCACCGAGCGTTCCGACGCCCGCCCGGTCACCGTCCATCCCAACAGCGTCCTTACGGCGCACGGCGTTCCCGTCGGCCCCTCGATCACTTCCCGCGGCACAATAAGTTCGATGACGTCGGTTCCCAGGAGCACCTCCACTGGGCCGTGGGTGGCGCTGGGGAGATCCAGGTCGGCCAGGCGCGGCCATTTCTCCTTTGCCACTGTGCAGTCCATGGCCTTGGCTGACACGTTTAACGTCGGCGTCGTTTGGGCGTTTCGTATACGGTGTGCCCTGCCGTCGCCGCCCACAGCCTCGACGGCGAAGGATACGCGTCGTGACGTCGTCGTTTGGGTCCCACTCAGCGTACTCAGCACCAATTTGTCGGTGGGCCCCGAGATGCCGAGCCGGTCACACAGGTCGTCGGTGATCAGTGTGACCTGACTGCCCAGGTCGAAGAGTGCGTTCGTGGTGCGGCTACCTGCCGGCCCATTTACGGTGATGGGCACCACCTGCAGGAGAACATCACTGCGAGGCTCGGCCGATGCGGTGCCGACATGTTTGGCAGATGACGGCGTACCATCATCGGAATTGCGCAGCGGAAACACTCGTCCTCCATTGTGTAACAGCGTGTGATGACGCCTGCCGCAGTGCTCCGCGTCACATCGTGCATCACTGGGACACGTGGCGCTGATGTGATCGCGACCCAGGCAGTTAAAGCACAGTCCGTTTCTGCCGACGAACTCTGCCTTCTCACTCACAGTCAGCGCGAGAAATTCGTCACAGTGCTGGAGCTCGTGTGTTTGCTGACACATGGCACACCAGTCGTTGTTACCGTCCGCTGCAGATGACTTTATGGCAGCTGTCCTCTCCCGCTTTACAGCCGCCGGCGTGGGCCGCGCCGACGTGGTGGTAAACACGCGTCTCGGGCGGCACTCAGCGTCATTAGCCTCGACCTTCGGCAGCTGCTTGGTGGTCACGTTCAAGGCCAACCGACCAGCTGACACATGACGGCGAAGCCATTCGTCGAGATCGACGAGCGTCGGACGAGTGATGCCGTTTTCCACCATGTGCTCGCCCCACCTCCAGGCGAGGGAGGCTGGTAGCTTCCCAGTTACAGTGGTGACGTTCGTGGCGGCGGCAAGGTCGTGCTCGTAGTGCAAACACTGTAGGACGCTCACCGCGGTGTGGAGCTCACGAGACAGCTCTGTCAGCGCTGACAGATCGCCATCTTTCACCGGCCGCGCTGTGAGGAGTCTTTTCATCGTGGCGTGTATCACACGGGACGGGTCACCAAACTCTCGTTCCAGCTCACCCAGGGCGGTGCTGTAGAGACTGGCGTCGCAGAGCATGCCGCGCACAGACTCCTTTGCCGGCCCCGTCAGGTGAGTCTGCAGGTAGGTTAGCCGTTCCACGTCGGTGAGATCAGCGCGGTCGTGCACCAGCGCTTTGAAGAGGGCTATCCACCGCGGCCACTCGATGGCAGAGCCGCCGAACTTCTCCAGCGTAATGCGCGGCAGATGCGGGACCGCTCGGGTGTCGTCACTGGGCGGGCGCTGCAGACGCATTGCAGGTGGAGGTAGAGTGCCGACAGGAGTCGTGTTCACCGGCGGTACGTGCAGCCGATATTGAGCCAGCCACTGTCGGGTGCGCGTGACTGACTCGTCTGTCTGTTGAGACACGCACACTCGTGCCGGTGGCTCTGTTGCGACCACCGGAAGACCAGCGACGGATGATGGAGTGGACGAACGAGGCTGCGAGCCCCGCTCCTCCTGCTCTAGCAGCTCCAGCTCCAGCTGACGGCACTCAGCTTCATCCTTCGCCGCCTGTGCCTCCAGGGCTGCCTGCGCCTCTGCCTGCTCCGCCTGCCGCCGGGACTGCTCTGCCTGCGCCTCCGCCTGTTGTCGGGCTTGCTCCGCCTGTCGTCGGGCCTGCTCCGCGTCCGCCTCCGCCAGACGCCGGGCCAGCTCAGCCTTGGCGGCGGCGGCGCGCTGGGCCTGTTCCGCCTGGAGCTGGCTAAGTGCAGCCCGGCGGCGGGCTTCACTGAGACCGGAGGACGCCGTGCTGAAGCTCGCCTCGCTCCTCGTGTGATACGAGCTTCGGCGGCTTTGATGTGATTTCGCATCACTGGCATGTCGTGACCGCTTGTCAGACATTGTACTCACAGTTCACAACACCGCGTCGTCACTGTAAATCCATCACACTAGTTCACTGATATCCGGCCCGGAGGACCAGAATGTTCGTGAGAATCGTACAGTTCACCCGTTCAATACGGAAATGTTCGTGCGTGCTCGTGATCGTTCACTCGTTCTCTTTCGTCACCCGGAGGACCATAAAGTTATTGTTCATATAAGTAAAAGTCTATTCTTGAATGAAACGGAAATGATTAAAATGCACAAAATACGGCGGTCACAAATGCGGTTCACTGAATCGTTCTCGTAGGGCCACGTCGGCCGCGTCGTACGTAAGGCCACGTCGGCCACGTCGTGCACCGGGCCGTCGCGCACCGGTGGAGTCCCGTCGAAGACTGTCAGGCCCCCGTCCCGTCTCAGCCCTCGTGGTACGTACAACACGTGGGCATGAGAACCAGGACAGGGGCCAGATGACACATATGTGAGCGGCGTGGCGCGGCGGACCGACCGCCGCGCTCCGAGCGCCGGCCGTCTTTGCGAAGATATCAAAAATGCCTGTTTGCTCGCTAACAATCCCTATGTATGCACCTATGTACGTGCCGAACTATAGTATTGATCCTGATACCATCATCATTAACGAGGGAATAACGAGGAAATAATATAGTGGCAGAAGTCTTCGATGTTGAATTAATGACACTGCTAGCAGATGCATGGAAATGATTAATTTTTAATGCCTTGTCGCCATCAAGGTATATACAACCGGAGCAGTGAGCACGGCCCTCGTTCAGAAAGTCGCAGAGGTAACCAAGCTTTGTTTTGTATTTCAGGTTCGGGCTATGGCATCAGCAAAACTCTACAGGCAGCTGGTGCTCGTCTGTTTTCTGAGCATTTCAGCGTATATCGTGGTTCTGCAGCCGTTTCTACGGGATCTCGCCACTGAGAAGCGTCGGTCGCAGTGGTCCCCGCTTCGCAGCGACCAGCATCAGCCGGCCGGCCATGGGGCGCCACCTGCAGAGGGCGCTGCTGCGGCCAGGCCTGGTCACGGTCTGACTGGCGCCGGCCGGTCTCATGGTCCAGATCGGGTACATAATTCGGCAGCCCGAGCAGAGGACGTTCGGATCAGCACAGCAGCTCCTGTACCTCCACTAAAATATATCCTCTACTGGAACGAGTTTTACGGCTCGATGGAGTTTCAGTGGGGCTCTGGCCAGAAGCCGTTCATCGAAAACGGCTGCGAGGTCAACACCTGCTTCGGCACAAACAACCGCAAACTTTTGAAGATGGACCAGTTTGACGCCATTCTTTTCCACGCCCAGACCCTGCCGTTCTTTGACTGGCCAAAGGTCCGCTCTCCCCACCAACGCTACGTGTTTGTGACCACGGAGTCTGCCCAGTACCTGGCCATTCCGCTCACGTTCTACAACAACTTGTTCAACCTGACGCTGACCTACCGTCGCGACTCGGACTTCCCCTACCCTTACGGAGGTGTGGAGCCGGTGCCGTCCCCTCCTCCAACCTCGACCCGAAACTACGCCGCCGGCAAGACCAAACTGGTGGCCTGGTTCGTATCGCACTGTTCATCGAGAAGTAATCGAGGAAAGTACGTGAAGCTCCTTCAAAAGTATATACCAGTGGATATCTACGGTAAATGTGGCCCATTGAAGTGCCCGAGAACCTCTGACAACAACTGTCATAAAACTCTGCTGAACAATGACTACAAGTTTTATCTTTCGTTTGAAAACAGCATCTGCAATGACTACGTCACGGAAAAGTTGTTTGACGCTTTGAAATATGACGTGGTTCCAGTGGTCTTGGGTGGAGCAAACTACTCTTCATTTGCCCCTCCCGGATCGTACATAGATGCCCTGAAGTATACACCAGAGGAACTAGCAAAATACTTGCTCAAGTTAGACAAGGACGACGCTGCTTATAACGCATACTTTAATTGGAAAGGCAAGTATAAAAACGTGGAGAAGATTTCATATAAAAAGTCGTCATTTTGTGATCTTTGTAAATATCTTCATTCAGACAAAACGAAGATCTACACAAGCATGCAAAAATGGTGGGTCAAGGGTCAGTGTAAGAGTTTAAAACTATAGCTAGACAGTAAAATGATAACGGGGATACCTTGTGTTTTGTTCTAACATGCCGGAAATAGAAATAACGCAAGCATCAAAGTTGGTAGCATGAGGTCCCAGGATGAGAGCAAATTGTTATACTTTATCCCGCGCCCCGCTGGGGGGGGGGGGGGGGGCAGAATCTGCCCCCCTCCCGTTTTTCGCCAATAACTTATAAACGCGTTACGCCAGCAACGTCAAACTTTCAGTACCTTATCATACATCAATTTGACACGTTCCCTGAACATTTGAGCGAATTCCGTCGGAATTTTTTTGAGAAATTGACGTTTTAGTGACGTCATGTTCGCCATTTTTGCCTCAAAAACGGCAAAATTTCAAACGCCGCTAACATCTTCATTTTTAAAGTAATCAAGACGTAACAAAAAAGGTTACACGTGATCCTACTTTGTCTATCAAATGGCTATCTCGGTTTTTTGAAAATTTTGGATTTTGACCCATTTTTTTCTCAAAAAACTGACTTTTTTGGGAAAATAATTATAAAATCCAAAATTTTGAGTGTATCGAAAAAAACCGGAATACATGTCAGAGAAGTGGTCTATGTGCACCTACATACCAATTTTTAGAAGAATCGGTTCAAAAATGTGGGAGTTATTCAAACTTTTATGACGTCACGACACACAAAATTTTTGAAAAAAATGATTTTTTTTAAGTTCTAGACCTCGTACGGAAACAAAAATAGCACCATTCGATTCGCCGTGAAAAACTGCATTAGATAGACACCTTTTTAGGCCTTAACAACCAACTTCAAAATTTGACCTCACTTGACCTGACCTTGACCTGACCTCGACCTGAAATTCATCCAGAGGTGGTCCATATCACTTATTGAGTGTGTCTATTGAATTCTATGAGCAAAATGACCCATAAAACATGTGTCGCACATGCCCTTTTCTATATTTTGTTTTTGGTGACCTGACCTGACCTGACCTGACCTTGACCTTGACCTTTGAATGACATTTTATGCAACGAATATTGTCTTGGTAGTCTAAGAACACGTTTTGGGCAATCAGTCTCAGTCCATTCTTCGGCAACTACGGTGCAAGGCCGATACTGTAGAAACTTGCATTTTGTACCCTTGACCTGACCTTGACCTGACCTCTGACCTACTTAAGCAAAAAAATTTGGGCTCTTAAGATCCGCCTTGTTGAGAGTTTTCGATTGCCGTTTTCCCCGTCTTTCTACGACCATCGGTTCGGAAGTTAGACAGGGGGGGGGGCAGAATCTGCCCCCCCCCCCCCCCCAGCAGGGCGCGTATGGCTGAATAGCCCAGCGGGGCGCGGGTTAAATATTGAATGCACATTGCACGCTTCCACTCCCTCTTCTAATGCCTGCAATTTGTGTGCATTCAAACGACTTTGCTCACACTAAGATAGAAACTAAATACTAAGATGTTGAAGGAAGCTGTCGCTACGTTATGCATTTTGGCTACTTGTCTTGTGTACATTATTTTTATGAACGGTCCCAATGTTGCTCCTTATTATCTGACAAATATTGTATCTCCATCAGTCTGGGTTTCCTTGTGCTGTCACATTCATTGCTGTAGTACTTACATGGACAGAAACATCAGGCGAATAAAGGCATGGCATGACGTTTTCGATGTTCTACTCAGTGGCTCTATGAGCTATGCTATAGGTTACCAGCACTCGCTGATGATTTTCTTTTTATCATGCAGTTCAGCGATGTTGTCGCGTGTGTACAGGGAGACGGGCTGTGATGCGCGTGCGTGTTTGTGAAGTTAAATGTGTTCTAGATGTGTATCTGTAGGCGTTTGTGCTCTTCCCGGCCAGTTTATGTACAATCATGCATGCCTAGTGGGGAGGAAACGGAAACGGAAACTGATAATAGAAACTGCGTGGTGAAAAATAAACGTTGTCGCAATAGGGGAGCAATATTCGTTTTCACGACGACCTATATGGAGAACGCACCAAAATTGACTGCAATAGTTTTGGCTGCAATTTTAAATGCCAGTTGCATGAAAATTGCGGTGAACAGTCGAAATTATCGAACAGCCCGTTAACAGACGGACCATGTAATAATTCACTTCTTTGACCACTGACTAATTGACATGTTTGCTTGAGGTATCCTGAGTGACTCAAATACGAAGAAGGCACCAACTAAGTTCGAGCTGACGCATCTTCAACCATTGCAACGAGCTTAACAATTTATATACCTTTCATGTACAGTGTTCATTTCATGTTTATATACATTTTATGTTAGGATATCATCCCTCATGAAACACATTTTATTGAAATGCATGATGTAGGCAATAGGGCATGGTATGTATTTACAATTAGCTGCAGTGCTTATCAACATGTGATTTACGTTCAATTTCTTCATGGAGTGTTGGACGGACAAATTATGCGACAGACATTTATTTATTCAAGTCTATAAACAGACTGCGGGCGATATTGGCAGCTCACGCCACTGCCATTTCAATCCGATGGCAACAGAATGGCAGTGCAGATGTTTTACCCAGCCTTCACTCCCTGTGGTAGGTTAACGACAAAGTGTCATAACGACATCCTCACAAACATGCTTAGAAAAATAAAAACGAAATAAAAACATACAAAGACAGCGGGCAGCTGCCGTTATAAGCTACAGCTAATAGGATGTGTACATTGTACATCACTGCATAAAGCCGAACGTCGATAACTAAATACGTGGAAAATCTTACTTTGAAATTGGCTGCTTTTAAAGCCTTTAAACACTCACAATTCTAGAGTGTGACATTGTTCGCTAACCCACCAATCTTGCATGTTGCTATACACTTTTGTGCCGTTACTTTGTAAATATTTACACAGATCACAAAAAGACGATTTCTGAAACGTTTTCTTAGCCACATATCTGTATTTTCCCTTCCACTGAAAATACGTATTGTAAGCAGCGTCGTCCTTGTCTAGCTGGAGCAAGTATTTTGCAAGCTCCTCTGGCGTATACTTCAGAGCATCTATGTACGATCCGGGAGGGGCAAATGAAGAGTAGTTTGCTCCACCCAAAGCCACTGGCACCACATCATACTCTAAAGCGTCAAACAGCTTTTCCGTAACATAGTCATTGCAGATGCTGTTTTCAAACGATAGGTAAAACTTGTAATCGTTGTTAAGTAAAGTTTTATGGCAGTTGTTGTCCGCACTTCTGGGGCACTTCAGTGGGCCACATGTACCGTAGACATCCACTGGTATATACTTTTGAAGGAGCTTCACATACTTTCCTCGATTGCTCATCGATGAACAGTGCGATACGAACCAGGCCACCAGTTTGGTCTTGCCGGCGGCGTAGTTTCGGGTCGAGGTGGGAGGTGGGGACGGCACTGGCTCCATGGCCCCGTACAGGTAGGGAAAGTCCGAGTCGCGCCGGTATGTCAGCGTCAGGTTGAAGGCACTCTTGTACTTGCTCGATGTGAGCGGAATCGTCAGGTACTGGGCCGACTCCATCGTCACAAACACGTAGCGCTGATGCGGAGAACGGATATCAGGCCAGCCGAACAGGCTCACGGTTTGCACGTGAAACAGAATGGCGTCAAACTGGTCCATTCGGAGCAGACTGCGGTTGTTTGTGCCGAAGCAGGTGTTGACCTCGCAGCCGTTTTCGATGAACGGCTTCTGGCCAGAGCCCCACTCAAACTCCATCGAGCCGTAAAACTCGTTCCAGTAGAGGATGTATTTTAGCGGAGGGTCAGTTGCCGCCGCGCTTGCTTTAGCTCGACTTTCTTCTTCAGCTCGACTTTCCAGACTTTGTGCCCTATCTTGGCCATGTGGCCTGTTTGCGCTAGTTAGACCGTGACCAGATTCTGCCGAAGAAGCGCCCTCTGCAGGAGATGACGCCGGACCTCGAGGTTCATTGCCGGCCGGCTGGTCACGGGTGCTGTTAGCCGAGAGCCACTGTGGCCGGTGTCGGTCAGCTTTGAGCTCCCGCAGAGTCGAATGGAAGACTAGTATAAAGGCTGAAATGACCAGAAGGCAGAATAATATCCGCTTCTTTCGAGTCGTGAGACATCCCATGTTGTAGTACACCTGAAACGTGACACAAAGTGAGCAGCACAAATATTTTGCTACACCGTAGGTATTAAATGCAAGTTAACTGTACGAGTATAAGCAGGAATAAGCTAAAGAAAAAACTGAGAGGCAAATACCTTCCTTATAAGTAAGCATGACACTTTCTTTGCAACCATCCCACGCCCTGGTGGAGGCCTCAGCCAGCTTCGCCATGGTGCGGGGAAGGGGGGGGGGGAGGGCGTATTTGCCACACCCTATTATCTCAAAACTAAGAGAGCTACTATCAGGGGCGGAGCTTCCTATTCAGTTGGTGGGGCGGCTGCCCCACCAACTTGCCGTTTTGCCCCACCAATAAGCGCTTTGCCCCACCAACTTAAGCTGACTTTTAGGATTTTGTTGCATAGCTAACCAATCTTTTTCGCATTGGGGAGCTTTGAAATGTCTGTCTGATGTCAAACATTATCTCTGTAATGAAAAGAATCGAGTCAGTGTTGCACTTTATCTAGCTCAACAATTGGACACTGTAAGTTTGACTACTTTATGCCCCACCAACTTCCCTGGAAAAGCTCCACCCATGGCTACTATAGAGGCGAAAAAAGCAATAGAAAGCTCACTGAAAAATCTTTGAGAATTATGGAAGTCATTTTTTCGATTAGGTCATTGCTGATGTCACTTCAGGTCACCAAAGGTAAATTATCTTTGTCTCAAATCGGCGTATAACTCGGCAACCAAAAAGGCTATGTATGAGCGTTGCGGAGAAGCTCATCCGACAGCCCTTTCAAAGCTCTTCAGCTAACATGTCCTCAGATTTGACCTCAAGTCAACGGTTTACACTCCAGAGGGCAAAACAGAGAGCAAAAAAAAAAAACGTTTGTGGGCAATGCTCTACAATAACTCGGAACACCAAGCTCATATTGCGTTGGTATTACCGGCATAGTAATTCTCTCGTCGAGACGCATCGAATTACCAATAAGTGGACCTGAAAAGATCCATTTTGCACTTTGATCACTGGTCAGGGTGCGGAGAACGGACAGCTGGCCGTTCCCGGCTGACCGGAAAAGGTCATGTTGCATATCAATCGAACTTTATTGATGACCTGAAAATATTCCAGGTGCTTTCATCGCTCTGAGTAAACCCAACTAACCTTCACTGGGTGTCGCTAACAGGCGTTCGGCCGGCTCCCGCGCCCCACAGCTCTCCCGTCAGCGGCTCCCACTCGAGTGTCCGCCTGCAGCGCGCGCAGCTGGTCTATCAGCACGCGGCACACCCCGCTCAGCTGTCAAAGTGATCTTTGACGTGGTGACGTTTTTCAAACCGTCGCAAATGTCACGTGCACCGACATTAGGGGCAGTTTGTGCGGCGTGTAGAGCGCACCACAGGTGGGACCGCACGTGTCTTTACAAGGGGTGTGAAATATGGGTGTCAGGGTGTATGTCATCGCCCCAATCCTAGCAATGCCGTGAATGGCATTTGGCAGCACCAGATCAACTACATGATAAGTCGTTGGGCTAGATTGGAATCGAGATGACCTCCTCACTCTGTTGACCAAGAATACACAAATGCTTGAGGAATGCGCTCACACCGAATGTGATACAACTGTCATTCGGCCGGACTATAGTCCGGTTGAGCTCTCCGGTCCACCACGCGCGGTATGGTGAGGTTGACCAAGACACTTTAGGGGCAGGACGCACCAGTTGCTGCACCAGCTGGTGGTGGACCAGGTAGCGCGACCTACCTGGACGACGATGTTGGTAACAGTAAGAACAAGCAAGTAGCAACACATTGCTGTTTGACGGATTGGGTTTGAACGAGACCACCTGTGCCCCATGTAGCTTACATGTATAAGCGCACCACGTTTGATAAAACAAATGTCGTTTGCCATCATTATTCATTTGTAGTACATTTGTACATTCATAATTTAAAGGCAATCTGTAAGCCCAAACCACTGGTAGGTATGAACTGGTATGCAGTATGCAGGTTTGTGTAGCTAATAAAAAATAACTTATGCAGACATGACAACTGCAGCCGCAGCTCAGCGCCATCAGTGGCCATCGTAGCAACTAAAGCTTTGACCGAGATCCGCCGAGAGGGCACGACGATCAGTAGAGACCTTCAAGGGAGTCGCCGTGGAGCATCCGGCTTCTCTGTCCTCGGAACCTCTCTCCCCTCATCCTCATCCGGACAAGGCTTCCTTGATGGATATCCCTCCGGGCAACCAATGAGGGAAGCTGAAAACGTACCAATTCAGAGTATAAGCACGAGTTACCGTTTGAGCGACTGGGTGGCGTATCTCATCCCACCCGCACCCTCGTCCGAACTGGATAGGACTAGGTCCTGTTCGTTTCAGCTCCCTGTGAAGGGTTCTCTGGCTCTGCGGGCGATGCGATTTTGCGACATTTTAGGACCGTGCAGATGTTCACTTACGACGTCATAGTCCAGTGATCTGACAGCCTGAAAAAGCACTTTGTGTTATAAGATTAGGCCTGAAAACAATGTCCGGACTCTAATTGGCCTTATCCATTAACGGCTCTTGAATTGTTGCATCACCGTTCCGTGCTTCTATCCTCAGGATACTGAAATCCTTCTCCCCAACGCCGCAACCCCCCTCCGGGCTGGACAGGCAACTTTATCTCATGCGGGCTGCTCCCTTGGAGCGGCACCGCTGCTCCCGAGGGAGCTGCACCCCGTAGCCGGGTGCAGAGAGTGCTTGGGGGGCTGGTCGGCCTGTCCATTTGGACGGGCTCAGCCCCGGCGACTCTCTAGGGTGCCTGCCCAGACCAATGTCTCCCCCTAATTCCTATCATCCTTCCGGCTCTGAAATGGTCTTGTCAGACCGAAAGGGCCTAACCCAACAAAACAAACAAACAAATTGAATTGTTGCACACCGTTCCGTGCTTCTATCCTCAGGATACTGAAATCCTTCTCCTCCACGCCGCAACCCCCTTCCGGACTGGACAGGCAACTTTATCTCATGCGGGCTGCTCCCTTGGAGCGGCACCGCTGCTCCCGAGGGAGCGCACCCCGTAGCCGGGTGCAGTGAGTGCCTTGGGGCTGGGTGGCCTGTCCTCTGGACGGGTTCAGCCCCGGCGACTCACTAGGGTGCCTGCCCAGACCAATGTCTCCCCCTATATCCTATCATCCTCCCGGCTCTGAAATGGTCTAATTAGACCGAAAGGGCCTAACCCAACAAAAAAAAAAAAATTGAATTGTTGAAACTTATAACCTCATGCAATAGGTGCACAAAGGTTCAAACTTCCAGGTCGCATTTCAAAACTAATAAGATGTCTAAGTTTTTTTCAGAAGCATAGTTATTCGGGTTGACATGGTGACCTGACCTTAGGTGACCTGTAGTCATTTTTTTACACACGATGCAAAATTGATACATAATAAGCCATACCGGCAATGAGAAATGTGGCCAAAAACGTCCCTGCCCACCAGGGCGAAGGCCTGACCCGACCGCCACCCCACCTCCCCCCCCCCCACACACACACACTTAATACCGTAAACGGGGGTGACTTTGCCTTGCGGGGTGACTTTGCCATGCTTCTCGAAAAAGCCTTTAGGGAGATCTCCAGTGATATTTTACGAAGAATGTAATACTTTTTTATGCACGCATGAAAGATATTTCATGGGCCTTCCAATATAACCAACACTGAAAGATAAGTTACCACTAAATGCCTAACTGGGCTCCATTTTATTGGAGTCATTGAAATGGTTGAATTTGAAGAGGTCAGAACTTTTTATTACCTAACCATGTTTCAGACGAACTGCGGTGCTGAAACTTGGTATGGTTGATCATGACAATGCTGTTTAGCTAGCATATCGAACAAAACTGGCCTTTGTCACTTCATTTAGCTAAAATTTTTGGTGGAGATTTTTCCAAGTGAATCGCAGGCCACATGGGGTGACTTTGCCACCATGTTATCAATGCAAAAATGAAATACTTATCAGATGCAATTCAAAATAATTTTTTAAGGTAGCATCATTTTGATCTCCAAATTGGTTTTTAGATAGTAAAAATTTATATATTGAACATTAACACAGGAAAGCACAGTGGTAGTATAGAATAGCAAAAATTGCCAAAATAAAAAAATGGATGAAGCTGGGCACAATTTTTCAGCACAGCCAAGATCATCTACATTTCCAGAGTTGGCCAGTATGACTGGCTGAAGAAATCTGTACCATTTTATAGATCAAAACGCTGATAATAAGCGTGCCGGAAAGTTGCCGCAAGGACGTCCTCTTTCTGTTCCTCTGAATGCCGCTGGAAGAAACCGGCAAGGTCCTAGAGTACCGATACAATCATATTTCTGCTTATTTATCTATTCTGAACCATTTTTCAGTTTCTAGTATTTACTATAAAATGTCAATTATTTTCAACAAGTATAATGTATTATAAAAAGCAATGTATCTCTCCTTTTTGTACATCATTTAAGAGCAAAAAACCTAGAATTGCTTTATATTTTTCCCATTAAACAATTAAGGATGGTTGCCCTTCCCCATACAACTGAAAAAAAGGTTTGAGAAATATTTGTTAGCGTTAAAAAAAAACATTATTTGGCATAGTGGCAAAGTCACCCCTTTTTCAGTTTAACTTTGCCACAACTCATTTTCTTTAAAAATTTATATTTTCAGGCAAGATATAAATACGATAACAGCAAAACCCAAAGAGCTAATC